GAATAACAAATTACAACAAAAATTGAATAACAGACTGAAATAAAAGTTTTCAAACTTCAACAGAAATTGAATAACAGAAATGAAATAAAAGTTTTCAAAATTTAAACAGAAATTAAATAGCGTTCTACAACAAAAATTGAAAAACCTTTCACTAGAATTTGAATATGGCAGCAAAAATTTTGTGAAAATGACCTACACTTTTTTTAATTACTATTTGATTGCTTATAAGGGGAATTTGAGATTGAAAAGGATCTCACTACTGCTACAGCATAAGGTTTTCAGTGGCTGGTGAAATTTAACTCAGACAAAACTCAATATTTTCAGCTAATCTTTATCGCAATAATCTAGATCTTCCTATATTTATTTTAACGGTAATGTACTCAATGAGTCATCTACCCTTCATCTTCTAGGATTAAGTCTTACTTCTGATCTTTCTTGGAAACTGTATATCAAATCGATTGCAAAGTTAGTATCTGCTAAGGTTGCATCTCAAAAGTTGAGCTCGACACTTTATCTTTATAAATCTCTTTAAATTGATCTTTCAATGATGCCCTTTCTCTTTTAGACAAGGTGCAAAAACACATTATAGACGTAGTTAGGCCTACTCTTGCAGCCAACCTCCAACCATTATAACATCTTTGTTATATTGCTTCTCTTTCTTTTTTCTATAAATACTATGCTCTCTGGCACTGCTCTAAAGAGCTAGCGTCTCTTGTGCCATCTACTAAAATTCATTCTTGTGTTACTCGTCATTCGTCCTTTTGCTGTGATTGTTCCTTGGTGCTCTAAAATTTCTTATTCATCTAGCTTTTTTCCTAGAACATCAGTTCTTTGGAATTTGCTTACTTCATCTTGTTTACCTGATTCATATAGCTTGCAATCTTTAAAGTTGTCTCTCAACTGTTATCTTGCTCTATAAACTTATATATAGTAAAATTATATATATAGTAAAAGTAAAACATTATAACATTAAACTTGTTTTAACATTATATAATTTGAAGCATACATTTTTGTTCACAATTTTTTGTACAAAATTTTTTATACAGAAAGTGCTGTGATTTTTTTCATGTCATGACTTTATAATCAAACACTCACGTTTGCGTTATGATGACAACAGCATTAAGTTCAGTATTAAAATGTTTCGGAGTGATATGAGTTAATAATAGAAAATTAAATAGGTTAAACAGTGTTTTGTGTTAAATAATGAATATATTAAAAGGTAAAGAAAATGAAATAGGTTAAACAGTGTTTTGTGTTAAATAATGAATATATTAAAAGGTATAGAAAATACGCAAACAAAAATTTTTTATTGAATTTTATTTTAGTTGTTGTACATGCAAAAAAATTTTTTAGTTTTAAATTTTTTTTTAGTTTTAAGTTTTTGTTTAAATTTTTTTGTAGTTTTAAGTTTTTGTTTAAATATATTTCATTACATTTTGATTTGACATCATTAAATCTGTTATAAAAAACAAATGCATTCTTTATCTTATGTTTTTATCTCATGTTTTTATCCTAAAAAATTGTAAAAAGCTTGAAAATGAATTAAAAAATAAAAATAAATAAATTATAAAAGCTAATATATACTCTACCAAGCCCAGCTATAAGGGGCTATAAGAACCTTATCTAATACTTGGGCTATAAGAACCTTATCTAATACTGGATAGCTCATTGATTAGGAGGCTGTGCTCTATCTATGAATGAGTTAAGTTCTCATTAAACCCAAATCATGACCAAAATTAACCAAAAATTTAAAACCTAAAAAACCATCCCCACCACCTAAATATTTTAATATATCTTTTACAAATATTTGCGGTCTACGAAGCAACTTTCCGTCAGTTGAGTCTTACCTCCTGCAAAATTCACCAGACTTGCTTGCACTCAGTGAAACAAATTTAAATTCTGCAATTCCTTCTTCAGATGTCAGTGTTGATAGGTACTATCCTTTGATTCGTAAAGACTCCAATAGTCACATGCTAGGTTTAGGGGTATACATATGCATTAATTCCCCTATTTGTCATGAAATCAGGTTCGAATCCTTTGACCATTCTTTTATGTGCTTTCGCCTAGCACCTCTTCACTCTATCACCTTTCTCTTTGTTCTTTATCGTTCTCCTTCTTCCCATGATAGCACTCTTTTAGATGTTATCTCTGATCAAATTGACCATGCCCTCTCTCTTTACCCCTCTGCCAATATTGTTGTTGTTGGTGATTTTAATGCCCATCACACTGAATGGCTTGGCTCTAACACCACTGATCCTGCTGGCACTAAAGCCTTTAACTTCTGTGTTTCTCAATCTCTTACTCAGATAGTTAACTTTGTGACTCGTTTTCCTGACAACCTTAATCATTTACCTTCACTCCTTGACTTATGTCTTGTCTCTGACCCTAGCTTATGTTCAGTTTCTCCCTTTTCTCCCTTAGGTGGTTCTGACCATGCAATGATCTCTATAAATCTTTTTTCTCGTACTTCTTTTTTGGGCTCACCTTATCATCGCACCACCTACTACTACCCTAAAGCTGACTGGGATTCCTTTCTTGATTTTCTTTGTGATGGTCCTAGGGCTGATGTTTTTTCTCTCTCAGCTGACAAATGCGCCTCCTATGTAACCTCCTGGATTCAGGCTGGAATGGAAGCTTTTATTCCTTCTCGTCGGTTTCAAGTCAAGCCTCATTCTACTCCATGGTTTTCTCCTTCTTGTGCGGCTTCTATATCCAATCGTAATCATTTTTTTCATCTTTTTCAAAAGAACAACTCTCTTGAGAACAAACAGCTATTTATTATTGCAAGAAATCGATGTAAAAAGGTGCTTTCTGATGCTAAACTCCATTATTCTCAGTTCACTAAATCTTGCATCTTATCGCAGAAGTTAGGATCTAAAGACTTTTGGAAAATCTTCAACAGCATTATTAACAAGGGTAGATCTAACATTCCATCTCTCATTCATGGGACTGATCTTATTACCTCTCCCAAGGATAAGGCAGAACTATTTGCAAAGAACTTTTCTTCTAATTCCACTCTTGAATCTTATGGACATTCTCTTCCTTCCATTCCAGTCAAACAGGTTGACCCATTGTTAGACATTCAAATCACTCCGGCTTCTGTTGCTAAAGTGATATCTCAATTAAACTCGTTTACAGCTTGTGGTCCAGACAACATTCCTGTCACAGTCTTGCAGAATTGTTCTCCAGAACTTTCTTCAATTCTCTCTAAACTATTTAACAAGTGTTTGACTGAGTCTTGTTTTCCTGCTTATTGGAAAATGGCATCTGTGGTTCCAATATTCAAAAACTCTGGAGAAAATTCTGACCCCTCCAATTATCGTCCGATCAGTCTTCTTTCTGTTATTAGCAAGGTCTTTGAGTTTTTGATCAACAAATTCCTCACATCTCATCTTGAGTCAAATAAACTACTGTCAGACAATCAATACGGTTTTCGATCCTCTCGCTCTACGGCTGACTTGCTAACTGCTGTAACTGAAAGATTTTATCGTGCATTAGATGGAGGCGGTGAGGCTAGGGCTATTGCTCTCGACATATCTAAGTTTCTGGGAAAGTTTTTGAGATTATCAAATCATTTCTTTCTAACCGGTTTATTAAAGTCATCCTTGAAGGCCAACACTCTTCTTTATTTCTAGTAACTTCTGGGGTTCCCCAAGGTTCCATCCTGGGCCCTGTTTTTTTTCTTATCTACATAAATGATCTTCCTGACAACCTTTCATCTAAAGTAGCTCCTTTTGCTGATGACTCAACTTTATACTCCTGTCTTGACAAAAAGTCTTCTCTTTTCGATCGCCTAGAACAAGCAGCTGATCTTGAATCTGATCTCACTTCAGTAATAGATTGGGGTTCACAGTGGCTTGTGAATTTCAACTCTAACAAAACCCAGTTGTTTACTGCATACAACTACCGTAATATGGTCAACATTCCTATATTAATGAATGGCAATCCTCTTACTGAGTCCTCCTCTTTACATCTTCTTGGATTATCGCTTACTACTGACCATTCATGGAAACCATATATACAATCGATTGCTAAATTAGCTTCTGCTAAGGTTGCTTCTCTTTATCGTGCTCGCCATTTCCTTACTTCTGATTCCATTCTCTACCTCTACAAATCTATTATTCGCCCCTGTATGGAGTACTGTTGTCATATTTGGGCTGGTTCTTCTAACGATTCACTTACTCTTCTTGACAAGGTCCAAAAACGCATTTAAATGTTGTTGGACCTGGACTATCTGCGAAGCTTGAACCTCTTTCCCATCGTCATAAGGTTGCATCTCTTTCTCTTTTCTACTAATACTATCATGGTCACTGCTCAAAGGAGTTATCATCTCTAGTTTCATGAACTAAAATTCATTCTCGTTTTACTCGTCATTCAGCTAAGTCTCATTCGTTTACTGTATCTGTCCCTGCATGCTCTAAAAACTTTTATTCATCTAGTTTTTTTCCCCGCACTTCAATCCTTTTGAACTCTCTCCTATCTTCATGTTTTCCTGACTAATACAACCTTCAACTTTTCAAGTCTTCTGTCAACCGTTTCCTTGCTTTATAACTCTGTTCTTTTTTTTCCTAGTAACTCCCAACTTAATAGTGGTTGCTTGCAGCTTTGTTGGGAGTGAATGCAAATAAAAAAAAACTTATGTAAATATAAAATGCTAATAATGAAAATAATCAGCATATTTAATAATTTAGATAAATATTGTCATAAAAATTTGCTTGTTAAAATTTGAGACATAAAGTTAAAACAGTTTAAAAAATATCCAACATATTCATAAAATTCATTTTAAATAATTTGCTGATCACTTGTTTAGAGCAAAAGTGAAGCAGAATGCAGAAAATCATAATTATTCCAATAAAAATTAATTTTTAAAAAATTTCGAAAAAATTTTATGAAGCAGAGCAAAAAGAAAACAGAATGGAACTAAGTTTATTATTAATGCACTGTAAGCATTAACATTTATAAATATAAATTTTTTTTAATGTTTTTTATGTTTATTCTAGGTCTTGGGAAAACACATAAAGATGCTGCTTCAGTGCGTACTTCAAATTCTATACCTGCAGCATGTGGATTATATTACTTTGAAATTAAAATAATTAGTAAAGGACGAGATGGGTTCGTTTTTGTTTTTTTTGTAAATTCAATTAGTTTTTTTGTTATCTTAAATTAAAAGAAAAACAAAATATTTTGTTTTCTCATTAAATATACAACTTGATAAATTTATTCAAAAAAATTAAAACTAAAACTCAAGCCATTATTTTAAGTAGAAAGTTCTGAAAAATTTATTTATGTATTTACACTTATGTACGCACTTCATAAATAATCAATTATTAATGAACAACAAATTGACCCTTAAACTTGATAAAACCTAATCCATTAATCAAAATATAAAAGATTAGATCAGTTAACAACATTTTTTTTTTTTATACTTCATAAAGCTTTTCATACTCTGTATAAACAGCGTTTCTCAAGACTTTTATCACTTAAGAAATAATTTTAAAAGTAATATTCTATAAAATTAAAAAATAAATAGTAATATTAAATACATACATTTTAATTATTTAAAATTTAATTAAATTTTTTTTATATTGTGCTTAGATATATTGGAATTGGTTTGTGTACACAGTCTGTAAATATGAATAAACTTCCTGGTAAATATATACTTGAAATTATAAATTGTTTTAAAAATTTTTTATTATAAATTATAAATTATTAAAATTATTATATATGAGTGTGTTTATGTAGAACCCAAAAACATGTAATTTTGTGAAATCTTTTTAATTCTATTAATATTTTATAAATACATATTAATATAAAATATATTAACATTAAAAAACACAAAAAACCATCTTCATCAGCAAGTTTTCTAAATCTATCATTCACTAATTGTGGACTTGGAAGTAACTTTTCTTCTGTTAAGTCTTTTTTTTCGCAAAGTTTACCAGACCTACTTGCTCTTTGTGAGACTAATTTGAGTTATTCTCATTGTGATGTTTATTTTCCTTTTGTTCGTAAAGACCAAAAGTCAAATGTTTGTCCTGAACATTTACATTCATAAGAATTCACACATTTGTTGAGAAACTAGGTTTGAATCCACACACTATTCTTTTATGTGCTTTCCTTTAGCACTCCATTTCACTCTATCATCTTTCTCTTTGTACTATATTGCTCTCCTTCATCTCAAGATTGCACTTTTTTGATATTTTTTATCGAATTGACCAAGCCTTTTCTCTCTATCTTTAAGCCAATATCATTGTTGTTGGTGACTTAATTACTTATCACACTGAATGGCTTTCTATTGTCAGTGACTCTGCAATTAGTAAGGCTTATAACTTTTGCTTTTCTCAATCTCTAATACAAACTGTCAACTTTCCAACTTGCTGTTGGACCTGCTCTTTCTATCACTATCTCATTGTCTCAAGGTTGTATCTTTTTCTGTTTTCTACAAATACTATTATTGTCGATGCTCAAAGGAGCATCAACAATGTCTCTAGTACTGTCAACTAAAACAAAATTTTTAATTGTAAAATTCCTTGCATATTTGAAATAGATCAAGTTTTGACTCCCTCTCCCCTTTCCTTTAAAAAA